TAGATGTTCGGTCCCACATGTGCTGAGAATGGCAGCAGGCATCATCATTGCTTCATCGGAAACCAAAACCAGTTTCAACGGCCAGGACCACTATGGCAGAAGCGACAAACATAGTTGACGTGCCAGCATCGCATCTGTAGCACCAGCAACGCCGCCGCACGACCTGCTGCTTCCCCTGACACTCAGGCCCAAAACGCAAAAGTCAACGTCTTCACTCGCCCAGCACCAGAATAATAATTCACCGTCCTGCTGCTAGCCGTACCACTGCCACTACCACTACCACTGCTACTGCTGCTACCGCTGCCGCTACCTGTCGCCACCACCGCCACGTCCACCACCACCACCAGCACTACCATCTCGACCACGACGACGACTAACCCTACTCCTACCAATGTTGCTGCTGCAGCTGCTACTGCTACTGCTACTGCTGCTGCTACTGCTACCGCTACCGCTACCACTACCGCTACCGCTACCGCTACCGCCACCGCCACCGCCACCGCCACCGCCACTGCCACTGCCACTGCCACTGCCACTGCCACTGCCACTGCTACTACTAAACTCGTGATCAGAAAATGATGATATACACTGGTCGTAGAAGCCAACGAAACTCGAACAGTTTTCGCCGAGATTCTCTTGCAAATTAGGTTGGGCTAGTGGAGGGCCTATTTAGCTTAGCGATATAGATTCAATTCTTGGGCTTACTTAGTCCGCATTCAGGGATGAATATCACGTATTAGGCAACGTCTTTCGGTTGGCCATGGGGTTACTTTGTCCATGATTTGATGTTCTTTGCGTTTTGAGCTCCGCGGACAGGGACTCCACCGTACGGCATGCAGAATTAGCTGTACCAATGGCAACACCACCTCACACCATGTTCATCATCTCAATCACCAAGATGAGAGCTTGCTTGTTCACCACAGCAAAGCGTGCAACAATGTCAAAACCAGCAACACATGACCTCAACCACGGCCTAAATTGTAAGTCAATTGAAACGGCTCCTTCACCTTCGGCGGCACTTGCCGAATCTGGCCTTGAGCAGAATAACAGATCCAAGCAGTTCCTGCAGCTCCACTGTGCATGACTGAACTAAAACTATGCGGATCGAGGACGTTGTCCTCCGCACGAGCCCTGCATGTTGGCCCCATGCTGCATGTAAACTTCAGCAGCCACTGTTCTCCAGCAACCCAGATGCACGTTCCTGAGGGGTTCTTATTTAAATTCTTTCAGGCCGTTTGAGCTTGCTAATGCTTACGAAAGCTTTCGCCGGAAGGAGAGCGTGCTACGGAATGAACCAACACTTACCTGTGAGCTCCGCAGCATCCGACTCACTCTGAGGCTCCTGCCGGGCTTGGCTCGCTTCTTGCAGTCCAGGTCAACAGAAGCAATCAAGCCATCCTGCGAACAAGCCAGCTATTCACCGTGCCGACATGTTCGATTCTCAGTGACGCACACGAGGGTCAAGTTCAAGTGGCAGGCTATGCATGGTGGCACCCAACCGCAAAAACGGTCAACGCACATCAGTGCACTACACAGATCAAGACCCTCTCAATCGAAAGCTTTGGCAAGTCGTCCCGAGCAGCACATCAGAGTTTCACGACATACAGCTCACGGTCTCTACATTTACAGTAACTCAAAATCCGCCCTGTCCTGCCCCACGGTGACTGCATGGACCTGCGGTGCTACAACTCAAAAGTACTCGCAGACACTGAGTGCATGGAAACCCATCAAAAAAGCATTCCAAGACAGAGAGGTCACGGAAACCGCATCGTTATCGCACAGGATCTCTCTGTCCCACTTGACGTGAGTGTCTCTTGTCTCTTTGCTTCGGACTTAGATATCTCACCACGTGTAACCGACAAACAGAAATGTAAGCTCTTGCCAGTATAATCTGACTTCTACACTTTCGCAAGGTTCATGGCAAATCGGGGTGCAGCTCGAATGCATCCGCATGTTTTGGGTGACGCCTCTTGGAGTGTGGAGTATATTATGGCGGCATTCGCAGGCAATGCCCTGTTAGCTGTTGAAAGTTCTAGGCTATGAGGGTCGTGTTGTCGGGACACTACCTCCAACTACCTCACACGTCAGTAAGCAGCGACCTGAGCCGCGATGTACTTCTTCTGGGTGTTGCTGAAATACTCCACCTGCATAAATTCAAGGGCCAGATCAAGGCCGCAGACGGATCAAGTCAGGAACAGCAGCCGCGATGCTGCAGTCACCTTTGTTGAACATCTTCACGAGGACTGCATGACCGAATTGTTTCCGGAAGCACAGATGTTACATGGACATCGTGCACAAAGCACTGCATGGCGGCCCAAAAGAACTAATGCGGTTCGTGTTGATGTGACTGCTGCCACCTACTTCCTGACCAGCATGAACCGCGGTGTGTGATTTGGACAGCTGTGGCCTTGTCACCCTCCTCTAACTCGCCAATCCGCCACTGATACGCCTGCGAAGGCATCTGTAGACCCGCGACTCTCTATCCGCCACCCAGCATTCCATGAATCCCACAACAAAATCAAAGACGGACGTCGCCAAGTGAGGCTTCGGAATAGCACCACCAATGGCCTGGACAAAACGCAGAACCATGATCAACCAAAGAGGCCCACAGACTTTACTCGCCTTGTTCGTCACGGCCCCCTCAGAACGCGAGGCCACAGTAGGCGGAGGAAGGGCCGTGCAAGGCGTCGCTGGGTCACCTCTCACTGGGATTGGGCTGCGGGGAGAAACGACAAAGCATAATGATCTACCACATGTGGGACATACAGTATGACATGTCCCTTGCGGGTTGGTGGCTATCTCCAATCCCTGAAATAGACATCTGCCAGCCTCTCTGCACCTGATGTCTCTGCTGCTCTTGCTGCCATTGTTACTTTGTGCACTCATCCTGGGGCCCCGTGCGATGCCAAATCACACCTGAATCACAAGCAACAAGCTGGACGAAGTGACAGATCCTCTCTAAGCGTTTGTGGTACTGCGCTCCGGGATCCCTGTCAAACGCGACCGGGCACGAGCTCCACATGTCATGGAGCCAGCCCACGACTGGTGACGACAGGAACGCATTAGAAGACTCCACGTCTTGATGACTCGATCAAACCAGTTTTAACCAGGCATGGAAGAGCTCCAAAACATGTATCGGACTCGCGTCAAGTCCCCACGAGCTTCTCTAGATGCAGGTCACTCGAAAGACTCCTCAGTATAAGCCACCCACAGTTGGATACGTGAAGCCTGAGCCCCTGGACAGCGTTGCACGCCCGGTTCTGCAGAAAGTGGTCGCCGAGAGTCACTCAAACAGATTTCGCATGCTGGCACTCCTGCCTGGTGTAGAGCCAGGATAGACAGTGTCAGGAACCTGGCATGGGAAAAACAAGCAATTAGAGATGCAAGCGCAGAGCGTTTCCGGGATGTGGCCGGTGGTTACGAACAGTTTCTAGGAAGCAAGCGCGCACACTCAGCAGACTGGAGGTTCGGAAGTCTGGCAACGGTTGTCACAGCTCGCCTCAACCCTGGCGCATGCCAGCACAGCTTGAGAGCTTGAGTGAAGTTCTGTGCACAAAGGCAAACACCCATCTAAAACTTCACTGCCTCCAAGCTATCCTCTGCAGCTTCAAAAGGGCCTCCTGGTGCACCCCACCATTTCGCACCAGACCTGAGCTGTCACCCTAAACGAGCACCTAAGAAAAAGTGGCGTAGCATCTGAGCTCTTCGGGAAAGAGTGGATCGCCAAACCAGGACAAGAGAAAGCGCTGTAAACCAATCAAGCGACAGTCGGCAGAAGCAGTCCGAATGGTCAGTAACTTGACACGAATTAGCACAGTCGCGAACGGACATTTCTAGCACTGCTTCCTGAGGGCCAGAGCTCGGCATGTCGCTCGTACTGCCACATGCAGGAAAGGGATTGTGACTTGCAGGTTGGCATTTGTTGTTGTCGATATCGTCACCCTCTGTCATTGCCGTCATCCGCACTGCCATCGTCACCGTCGTGTCTCTCTTTGTTGTTGCAGTGGTGTTGGTGGCGGCTGGTCGTGCTGCTCTGCTTTCATATTCAATTTACTCTAAAGTTCCACAAGCCTGTTGGGTGCCTCTCAGTCCGATCTGGCTTTGGCCAGCTTGACTGGGTTCGTGCCTAGGCCCCGACCCAGAAACCTTAACCATGCTCACAAGAGTAACTACAAGCACCTGCAACGCACCAAACACGTCTTGGCATCCTTGAAAGCAACAAGCCTTCAGGTTCTCAGCATCCTTGATCAATACACCCTGCAACTGCATTGCCACGATCAGCTTCGTCACCAAACGTCATAGGAGGTGTGTCGTTCTGAAACTTCACTACCCTCCAATGTGAACCCCATCATCACCCCCTTCCCCAAGCAGACGAAGAGCCTCACCATGCTGGCTGTCGCAAAGAAATTAACAAATTAGGTGCAGAAAACTGGCACTTGAAGCTGCAGGGATGCTGGCTTTGGGATGTGTGGGGTTGGCACTGGCTGGAAGTTGGCAGAATCTTGTCGCAGGGTCGTAAGCCTTTACAAGTCTTGTCCTGCTCCTTTTTTATCTAGAAAGCATTCCAGCGTCTGGCTCCACATCCGCATTCCGTCTTAACACGTGTTTGTGCTTCCAATCCCGTATTGAGAGTCCTAGAAATGCTCGGCAGTGCAATTCTAGCATTTCCTCCGCTAGGAGTGGCTGCATGCTTTCTTCGAGCCTCAGCCCCTCCCTTTGAAAGCTAAATGGCGTCGCAGTAGGCCACAGGCGTGTCTCACATGGCATGAAGCACAGGTCAGCAATGGAGATGCACAGCATGCACAAAGTGTACGAGCAAGGATGTGACAGAACTTGGAGACCCGACCACGAACGACGGCGGAAAAGAAACCTTCCACCTCTTCTTGCTCTTACCGCAGGATGTTCGGACAGCCCTCCTGAAACCCCCCCAGGCCCCAGGCCCCAATCCACCCTAGGCCCGCCGGATTATTTTCATGGGGCGGTACGTCAGTACGATGCCTGTTTCAGATGTAGTAGTACCAGAACCAATCCTCCGTGGAGCACTCTGCCGTGACAACGGCTGCTTCTGCAGCTACGTGAAGCATTGCATGATTCGAAGCAAGATGAGAAGTTAGCAATTTGTCCACAATCTACCGTCGACCGCAAACGTTCTCAGGCCCGCGGCCATTGAGAGGTGCACTGTCCTAAGCCGGATTGCGCAAAGCCCTTGCCGCTAACTCATGCGGTGAACATAGTGAGAAGTGATGCCAAAATCTCCTGATCATGCGCCTGGCGATGACATGAACCCTGCAATTGCCTTCATGAGTTGTCCCTCCCTCAAGGCTGGACAGGTGCCAGCGGAAAGACTGGAAGTGAGAAAGAGACACGCTGCGCCCCCGGCCGATTGAACTCCGCTGCACGTTCAAGCACGGCCCTGGCCTTACATGTCGACAAGCTGAACATTCTTCCGCACGACAATTGGTGCACGTGACGGGACGGGGTGCAGAAGTGCCTAGCAGTCTAGGCACAGCGATTCAGAAAGCAGTACTGGGGACTGGTTACTCTTGTAGGCTTGTGGTGTTAAAGGAAAACTTGTCAGCCTGGAGGTCTAAACGGCCGAAAGGCACAAGCTGCACCTACCTTGCAACTTCAATGTGCCACGGGCACGCCATTCAACCGGCTAACAATCTCGACTGAGTGCATGAATGGCTATTCTTGTCGGCGTTGCGCTGTCCTTCACCGACCGCTCCAGAGCTTCTCGTGTTGATGGCCGGCTGCACTCGATTGACAGGTCTTGCAACTCTGCTTGAGGCTGGCCTGAGCGGTTCGTCCTTCGGCCTGTTGGTTTGTAGCTCGGTAACCTCGGCAGTTGACACAGAAACCTCCGAAGCCTCTGCTACTCGTCAGCTGTTGTAGGTCGCTGTGCTTCAGTGGCCTCGTCAACACTCGCAACATCAGATGCCTCCCCTCAGCTTCTTATCAGCAGCGCCGTTCGCGGCCGACTTGCATCCTCCGACGGTCCGGTGAGTAAGCAGGCAGGCTGTAACCCAGTGGGTCTCAGCTGGCCGTGCACGAGACTCTTTGCCTGGCCCTTGCAATGCAATGTAGAGTGTAGGCTGACTCGCAGAAGTTTTTGGCCAGCGGCTTCTTCGCTTTAACTTTAGACCGCTTGCCTCCCGCAGGGATTCATGGAAGCTGCGGCACCCCGCATCCGGAGTCATCATCCTTCTCTTCTTCTCGGCCTGTGAAAACCCTGTCCCCATGGAAGGACCCCCCTTCCAGGTGCTCATCTCGTTCGCACCACGGCCCCTGTCTGCTTGTCGAAATACATCGCAGATGGCTGCCTTCACTCTCGTCTCTCCTTTCGAACAGCCCAGGACAGTGCAAGTGTGGGAAGATCAACTTCAGCTTGAGCCGTAGGCATTTGGCATCGACATGTGTTGCTGCAGGATGTCTCAGGACTACGGTATCCAAATCCAAGTATGCCATCTTTCTGACAGAGTGGCTGTTGCCTTGATCTGACAGTGCGTGTTCTACGTGTCAAGCCGAAGCCATCCTGACCAAAATCCTGGTCAGCCACATCTGACGGCAAACCCTTCCGATGCGCGGGTCTGGGCAGGCACGCCACATCCGGATGGTTCCCAAAGTCGTGGCCACTCAGAAATCCACCCGGCTTCACCTGTCCAAGTCAGTGCTGGGGCCTAATGGATGTCAAGGGCTGAACTCAGTCATCCTCAACACCATCCCCGGTCCCCTGGAAGAAGGCCTTGGGTTCCCACGCATCAATGTCGCGCAGAACCTGCAAATACCTGATGACAGCGCAACTGTCCCGCGAAGAGATCCTGCCAACCCGGTCATGTGGATCAACCTCTCGAGAGCACGAGTGGTCGCCATCGATGAACACCCCATCCACCGATCTGTCCGGCCTTGGCCACGTCCATCATCGTGATAGTTGTGTGTGTGTGTGCGCGCAAGTGCCATCTCACAAATAGACCCGCACGCACATGCAAACACACTCACACACTCGCAGAGACACGCACACATATACATACATACATA